CCCCCCCCCCCATGTGCGCGTGTGTGCGGCCTCTGGAATGGACCGGCGGCCTCAGTTGGGGCACCATGTGACTCTTGAGCTCGGGGTCGGGAGTTTGAGCCCCATGTTGGACGTAGAGATGACTTAAAAAATGCGCGTATTACTGTAAGCTGTATATGGTAGAGACTGAGACAAATACTAAGAGTTGTTTGAATGTGCTGTGTTATTAGCAAACCGAAGGACGTGGCAGAGAAAGCAGCGGAAGTCCAACAAGAAGAATTCTCGAGACTGGAAGATGGGCAACAACAGAAGGAAATGAAGAAAGGATCTCCAGATCCAGAAGACCAGAAAGTGTTACTACAGGTTTGCTGGCTCTCCACTTTATCAGAGGTTGAGGACCAGATTCTGAAATTCATTTAAAACCCAAGGCAAAAATCTGTTTCCCCCAGAAAGATGATGAACAGATGCAGCCTTGTGTGGCTGTGTTTTTCCATTATCATCTAGCTGCTACCCGGGGCCACTACAAGTCATTCCCAGCCACCCTTGGCAAAATTCTAAAATATCTTCCAAGTGAAACAGAAGCAGAAAGCTGAGAATTATAAATTACTAGTTTTTTATTTTGTCTACATAAACAACATTGCAGCTCAGTTTCAGGAAGTCCCATTGCTCGCACAGATTATATGTCCTACGTGAGTTTTCCCAGTCCTGCACTCTGTGGCACTCACAGCTGCACTCCACATACCCCCCAACAGAGACGATAAAAATTATGAGTGCCTCCAAAAGTTTAAAGTCCTCCAGTTCCCCAGTAAGAATGTCTCACCCATGCAAATTCAAATCCTCTGGTGAATAAATCCACAAACTGAGCTCAGACTCTACACTCACTTTGAATTGCTAACACAGCCTACTTAATATTCCAGTTTTAGTGTATCACTTAATAGAATCAGTTGTGTGTCGCATAAGCGGTTGTGTGCATTTGCATTCCCCGGGAAGCTGTCTTTAAGGATCCTCTCCATGCTTTCGAAAGGTGTAAGACTTTTGGCTCCTTTTGCTGTGTTAATGGATAGCTGTATAATTCCTGATTTGGGGACCATAGTGGCCTGATAACCACGGTGCTGGAATGGTGACCCTGAGGTCCTGGAGGGGACAGACATGGCTTCTAAATCTTCAAGACGATGGTTAGCCTGGTTTTGTGCATTTTTAGCTGATGTTTTGAAAACTCAGAATTCATGAATGTCGCGTGTATAGGTACTTGTCAAAAGAAGGTTACATTCTTTTATGCTGGATAACCTTTAACTGTTTAATTTTCTCAGCTGTTGTTCTCAGTTATCACTTGTATATTGAGAGTAAGTGGTATTTTTATGCAAATTTTCTAGAAAGGGGACGCCAAAATAAAAGCTCAGGAGGAGGCTGACAAACGCAAGAAGGAACAGGAGAGAATTATGTTACAGAATTTGCAGGAGAGATTAGAGAGAAAAAAGGTACTGTTTCTGTTTTGGGAGTTTGGTTCGTTTCGAAAACAATGTTGGGCACACGATACCAAAACATGTTCTTCAAAATCACAAGTAAGTGGTATGTTAGCTTCTGGTGGTTTTCCCACTGCAGCTCTCTTCTTTCTCATCCAAGGATCTCACCCTTCCTATGTAGAAGGGTCTCCTCTTGCTGACCTGACCTCTCCGTGGCAGACCACTGATGGCCAGTACAGTGACACGGCGGTATCACAAACCTCTGGGAACAAAGCTCCTTTGAGCAGAATCACTCTGGTCCTGGGAGGGGTTGGTGGAAGCTAGTTTCTTCTGGACTGGGCTAGAAACCGTAGCAGCTGAGTGGGAGGGAGCACCAGGTGCAGGCGTCTCTTAAAGGCCGAGGTGTAGGCTGTTTGTAAGGTGGGACCTCACTTTGTGCAACTCAGTTTGGCTCATCTGGGATCAGGAGGCCCCAGTCCAGGCTGCAAGGCCTCTCTGTTGGGAGTGGGTCACCCTGAGGAGGCCAGGTGTGCACCAAGAAGAAATTCTTTCCCTCCTGTGGGTGTGCTCTTTGCAGCCTCAGCCTTCTGACAGTGTTACATCATTGGGGTGCATTCTTTTGGTTATCCGCTTCAGTCGTGATCTGTTCAGACCAAAACATTAAAAAGTCCTAACTGGCTCGCAGTATGTGCTTTTAAGTCATGAATTTCTGAGTCTACAAAATGACGAGTGAAAGGTAATTGGATTTCTGGGTTAAGATGGCTAGTTCGGCTGCTACCCCTCCAGATGCTTTCAGGATGACTGACACTGGGACTGGGAGGGCCCCTGGCGGCCACCCCCGAGCTCTCGAAGTGGTGAAAGCTTTGGCTTGGGGCCAGTTCCGGTGCGTCTGCTCGTGGAAAATGGAAGTAATCAACTTCCTCGGGACTGTTGGTTTGTTTTTGATCTGTTTTCACGTTTGAATTTTTATTTTCCTTTAAATAGAGAATTGAGGAGATTATGAAGCGGACAAGAAAGACAGATTCGAATACCGCAAAGGTAGTCTGTGTGTCCCCGCCAGCAGTGCGTGAGAAGTCCTCTTGCTTCAGCTGCTTGCCGCCTTTCGGCCGGCCTGGCGGCAACGCGAGCATCCTGCGCGCGTGTCCCTCGTTATGGGAGGTGGAGCACGTTCTGTCCTTAATGAGCTGTCCTGCTTTTTCTTGTGCGAGATGCTTGTTCGGGTCTGTGCCCAGAGCCTTTGGGCTGATACTGTCTTTCTCTCACTGACTTGTGGTTCTTCCTCTGTTCTGGATGCCCCTACTTTCCTGCTCGCTGGTGCTGCATGTGTCCTCGGCCAGTTCGTGGCCTGTCTTAACGCGTGGCCTCCAGCTGCACAGAAGTTCTTAATTTGCACACTACCGAGCTGATTGGTAGTTTTTGATGATTAATGAACTCGAGTGCCTTTTCATCTACTTTTTGGCCATTTGGAGATCTGCTTTGGTGAAGTGCCTTGTCAAGTCCTTCGTCCATGTTTCCATTCAGCGGCTTTTGCTTCTTACTGTTGTGTAGTTTTTACCTCCTCTGCTTCTGTGCATGTGTAGGTATTGCCCTAATTTGCCTCATACTCTCATAATGCTTTTTGATGAACAGACCGTTCATTTTCATGAATCCAAATTCATTTTTTTCCTTTATGGTAAGTACTTTTTGGGGTTGCTCTCACAAGTATTTGCTTACTCCAGCATCCTGTCTTTGGAGGCATCAGATGCCTCTAAGGCCTTTTCCCTCCAAATTCTATGCCCTTTACCCTTTGTGCTGCCACACTGGTATTTTAGCTCTTTCCAGTTCCCCAGTGTGGTCATTCATACCGTGGCAACATAGAATGCAAATGTCATTTCTGGAAAGTGCAGCGAGTCACCATCTGAAAGATCACTTAGCCTGCTGGCCTGGGGATTTTCCCCTCAAGAGACAGCCAAGAATTTTTTTTAGCTGTTCCATCAGTTGGCCCTACCTTAGCTTAGTCCGGACCCTGCATCCCAACCCAGAGCCATGGCCCCCTTGGCTCCCACTCGGGGAAGTCTTTCATTCCTGAGTGTCTTTCCCTAACCGAAAGACACAGCTAGGGTCAGCTCTTCTGTCCCCTGTCGTCTTTGGGCCCAAGACATTAGATTTTTTTTAACTTTTTAATTGAAATGATGAAAAATAGCCATCAATCAGTCCAGCATGAAACCTCTTCTCTCTGAAATAGCCAAGTCAGGCTGACAGAATATTAGATGTAATCCTGACTTCTTTTCTCATCCTAGGCTGCAGAACCCTTTGTTGATAACACGTACGAGGAGGACGAGGCGGACGATGAGGAGGAGTCAGAAAGTGATGACAATTCGTTTGATGACCTGCGTCCATCAGGTTTGCTTGCCTTTTGAGTTTTGTTAGTCACTGTGTAGGAGTTGGACTGTCTGGGTTCACCTAGGGGTGCCTCTGCTTCTGAGCTGTGTGGCTTTGGGCAACTTACCGAACCTCTCTGTACTCAGTTTTCCTACCTGAAAAAGGGGAAGCAAATGTGGTCCTCCTAGGGTAGCAGGAGGTAGCCCATTGTGATAGGCTGATCCATGTCGTGCTGAGAATAGTACCTGGCGCGTAGACAACTCGGGAAAGCCTGCCGCGGTGGCGTCCGTTGGTCAGGTGCAGCTTGTGCCGTTAGGCTGCAGGTAGTAGCTCTTACCCGAACGTGAGGCTTAACGAGCATTTCCTGGCTCCCAGCCTGGGATGGCATCCATGATTAACTGCAGCAGGAATGCCACTTTGCACCTCCCGGAGAGAAACGTCACACCTGTCATGACCTGAGAACCCTCTGAGATGTATGGCCGAGTCCCTCATGGGGAGGCGCCACTTCATGGCAGCAGAACTAGGCACTCTTTAATCCCACAAATGGAAACGAACATGCATTTCTTTCTCCTGGGCTAGCTGGGATACAGAGAGGAGGAGACCTAGCCTCAGGGCAGCCCGTGGCAAAACAGAGGCACACGGTGATACTGCCACCGGCGGGTTGGCCCGAACGCGGTGAGAATAGAGCAGTCAGAGCAGGGCAGGGGCACAGAGGAGGCAGCACTGGAGTCGAGGCCGAAAGAAGAGGTGGGATTGGCCAGGTGGCTGGGCAGGAGGAGGGGTAAGAAGCCTGCGGCCCGCTACCCTCCGGCTTCCCACTCTTGTCTGTCAGAGGAAGGAGGCAGGTTCCTCAGAGGTGGCTCCTTTGTGCTTTGAGGCCCGAGCAGGCCTGTGCGCCGGGCGGCACCCTGCACCCCAGCATCCTGCCGCATGGCCCCCCCTTGCCTGTAGGCGGCCGCTGTGCCCCGACGCGCCACCATCACAGCCTTCACCTTCTGTTGCCTTCGTTGTCGAAACTCCAGTTTTAATCTTCTTCCTTTTGTTTTCCAAGCCTTTATAAATGGCATGGATTCATCCACAAAACTCAAAACACATTTTAAAAACATGAAGAAGAACACTCCCAAGCTGGTGTTTTTAGACGCCACTTCTGGCCAAGTTCGTAGAGAGACAAAAACATTTTTTAATGGCGACATGAAAAACTTCAGACCAAAAAGTGCGAAAGACCCTTTGGCTCAGGCAAAAGGTACCAGGTGAGTCACTCAGCAAGCTTATCAGAATAAAATTGGTGGGAGTCATACACAAAATTACTGACTGAGCTCTTAGTTTTTACCAAGCACTGTGTCAAGTACTTCCAGAAGTAAATTGATCCCCATAGCAGCCTTGCTAGGTAAGGGCTATCATCTTCACTTTTACAGACGAGGAAACTGAGGCACGGAGAGACGACGGGCCTTATTTGCCCAACATCCCATTGTGATAAGGCAGAGCCCACATTCAAACCAGATACATCCAGCCCTAAGCTGTGCTTTTGTGCACACTGGTGTTGCTCATAAAATCTGGGAGGGGCATCGAGTGACTGCCGCATACCAGGTGTTTGATGTCGCCTGTTCCGATGCTCGTTGCAACTCTGACTTCGGTGTGGATGTTGTTTTACATATGGGGAAACTGAGGGCAGGAGTTAGGTTGGGAGAGTGGCAATAGATTCTCAGGAAGGTTCCCTGGGGATTGCCTAAGAAGAGGTGAGCCTGGGGTGCCCGGGTGGCTCAATCATTAAGCATCTGCCTTCTGGCGCAGCTCATGATCTCAGGGTCCTGCTCAGCGGGAGGTCTGCTTCTCCCTCTCCCACTCCCCACTGCTTGTGTTCCCTCACTCGCTCTGTTTCTGTGTCAAATAAATAAAATCTTAAAAAAAGACACGAGCCTCCAAGGCCCACGTGAACACAAGGGGCCAAGAGGCTCAGTGACGGGCTGGACTGAGCCCTGGAGCTGGGAGAGCCAGTCCGTCCTCACTCCATGGTTCTGGCCATGTCCTGGATCCACATGAAGTGGGGGGTGGGGCTTCTGGAGGCCTGCGTGCTCAGCCGCTCTCGGCCTTGCTTAGTGTTGAACCCTGGGACTTGGCAGGACACAATTTGGAAACCAGTGTGTTCTGTGATTTCCAGGATCTCTTCCTGCTTTCCCATGCTAGGATTCTGAAGGATAAGTTACTTATCCCAAGTTATTTATCCTTCATTTAAGGATAAGGCTTCTTTGAGGACAAAACCTTGGCTTTGGGATAGTCAGGGTTCTAACCTAAGCATCTCTTTTTACAGATCGTCCACCAAAAGAATGACTAGCCATGCAGCCAATACCAGAAAGGCAAGTGAAACCTGTAACGCCGTGGGACCTTCCAAGAGTTTAGACCCAGAGGCACAGGAGTGGATCTGTGACAAAATTATTGACATCAGAAATGAGGCAGAGTCCCTTATGTCCAGTACCCCTCCTGATAGCCGAAAATACCATCTGAAAGGTTCCATGACATTCCACCAGAGTCCCCCGTTGCCTTTAGACGACAAGAAAATCAATTCTGTTCCTGCTCCATCGGGTAAGGCCTCCTCCTGTCTTTACCTTGCTTGAAAGGCAGTTGGCCATGAACTCTCCTGCTTCTGGCTCTTCCCAGGCCTTCTTGGTACCCTGTCACTCTGAGGCAAGTAGGGAGACGGCGGTGGGTCTGAAGGCTAAGGTGGATGTCAAAGGCTCTTCTACTGAGTTGGCATTGAGAGCATAAAGGGCTTGATTCTAGCTCTGATGCCCTGCCGTTTCCTACCAGATACACAAAGTAGGTTCTCGTCACCGCCCCTGGTACACCGGCTGCGTTAGAGCGTGCAGATAAATAATCATGTAGGGCGCAAGGTTTGTCAGCCCTTTGGACTTAGTCTCTCAATCTGGTTTCCCAAAACCAAAAGGCCTTTGCTTTT